ATAATTTACAACATTTAAAAAAATTTTCATGGCTTTAAATAGCTCAAAAAGAATCAAAATAGTTTGAAAATTTTACCTTGTATAGAAAATGTTAATATAATTATTTGGTGAACATTTCAGAGTCTACAGTTATTCGTTTTGGATATAGATACAACAAAATATCAATAAAATTGATTAGTGGGAATTTGATAATTTACCGCTGAATATCAAATATCATAAGAATTATAAGTTCAAACGATCATAAAAATGTAATGTTCCGTATAAGTAAACTTTTGTTTTTTTGTGAAAAGTTGAGAAACTTATGTGTAATTTTCTATCAAAATTTCTAATGTTAGGCTATATTGCAAACAATTTTATGAATTTCTAACTGAAAAATAGTTTGAAACGTTGATGAATTTGAACTTTAAATGCATATAAAAAATAATGGGGCCTATGTACCATTAATATTTTAGATTCTGAGTGGAACGATGAATGTATTGATTTTACAATGATGTGTGTTTTTATATTTTTTTATTTTTATGTCTGTGTACACGATAAGTAGTCGAAATAATGCTTCGATTTTCGACTTCAGTATCTTGTTCGATTGGAAAGTGAATATCGTTGGTGCATTGGGGAGGTCAAAATTTAAAATTCCCAGTACTTTTCAAAAGCGCCAAGAAAAACAAAAGAAAAATTAAGGAAAAACGGGAATTTTTACTCAAAATCAATTTTTCAGAAAATTGAATTTGGTTTTTGGTGTAACTTTAAAACTAATGACCGTAGGCAGCTGAAATTTTCACTGGTTGTTTATATATTCATTTTCTATACACGATAACATTTTCAAATATTTTGATTTATTTTGAACTGTTTAGGGACATTTTCATTTTTCATTTATTTTTAGTTTTTTTTCTAGAAATATCAATACAATTTTATTTGTTCGTTAAAAAAACTTGAAATTTTAATAGAAGGCTCCAAGTATATTGTTTCAAAGGCAGACGAAAAATATTAAAAATCCTTAGTTACAGTTTTTTTTTATAAGCATTTAAAGTTCAAAAATTGACAATATATGGAAAAATCACGAAAATTAGCAAATTATTTTGAGTTAAGAATTCGTAAAAAATTTTCTTTTTAAATCCAAGATTTGAAAATCTAATACAAGATTACTCATAAGTTTGTCTTCTTTTATCAATAAAAAAATCTCTACCGGAAAGTCAAATTAAATTTTTATGAGCGTTTGAAATTCAAATTTTTACAACATTGGATATTCCCTCGATTTCTCATGTAGCGATTTCCTTATTTTGTTGTAATTCAAAAATGAATAACTGTAGATACATGAAAATTTTATTGAATGTTTATATTAGCATTTTCTATACACCATACAATTTTGAAAATATTTTGACTCTTTTTGAGCTGTTTACGGACATTTACAGCTTTCAATTTTTTTTAGTTTTTTTTTCTATAAATATCAATAAAGTTTTATCTGTTGGGCAAAAAAGTGTAAAAATTTAATACAAGGCTCCTGAATCCTGATATATTGTTACAATATCAGTTGAAATATATTAAAAATACATAGGCACAGTTTTTTTTTATAAACATTTAAAGATCGAATTTTGACAAAATTTATCAAAACCTTGAAAATTATCAATCATTGTAATTAATAAATTATAAAATATTCAGTTTTTATAGCTAAGGATTGCAAATTTAAAACAAAGGTTCTCATAAATAGTTCATACTGTAACCAAAAAATCTAAAAAATACATGAACACAGTTATTTTTTACAGACATTTTAAATTCAAATTTGGACGAAATTACATATTAAAAAACCTAGAATAACTATTTTAGTTATTTTGTTGTGATTGAATAATATTATTCGTGGGTACTTGAAACTTTTAAAGTGTACTATTATATATCTATGATAGTATCACGGTTTTTGTTGATGTATAACGCGTTATAAGTACGAAGTACCTAATGGATATTGTGATATGATTAATTTGGAATTTATTATAGGTACCTACCTATTATAATTCAAATTTTGGTTTAGTACCACAGATATGTATAATACATAGTGTCTTATACCTAGACTGATATACCGTCTCCGCTCAGAATCGTTTTTCTTATACAATGATATTATATCGTTGAATTCAAATTTAATATCATCCATTATACAGTGACTCACTTGTAACCTACTGTACAGCAGAGCGACGCCCACTTGCCCACCTTTTTTGTATTTACATTAATGAAACTTATAAGGATCCTTGCATTATATTTTCAAGCTTTTTTACCAAGTGAAAAAGATTTATTGAGAATAATTTAAAATAAATTCACGAATATCGATACATTTCTCAAGGATATAACTAGCTCAAAAAAAGTTAAAATATTTCAAAAATGCTACCATTTATTGAAAATGCTAATATAAATATTTGGTGAAAACTGAAAACTTCAATAGTCTACAGTTATTAGTTTTTGGGTTAAACCAAAAAAATTAAATCGATTTTTCAGAAAAAATTACCACATTTTTTATTCTTTTTTTTTCTTGACTTTCTAAAACAACAAGAAATTTTCGATTTTGACCTCCCAAGATTTATATCTAGTTTAAACTAGATTCACTTTTCAAACAGAAAAGATACATATCTCAAAAATCGGAAAAAATTTTACTCTCCAACATTTTGACGACAGCAGAAAAAAACATATCATTGTAAAATCAATACATTTTTTCGCTTCACTCAGAAGTCAAAATCTAATATACCCTATATATATCAGATTGTAAATGATTGCATTATTGAAGAAAAAAAGGCAAGCATGCTTGACCATTCACTCTGTAACTTGAAACGGCGGTTTTCCAACATGACGTGTGCAAAGAATATTCGATTTTTGTATACCTACCCACTTTAATACAATTAATAAGGTTTTAACCTTTAACAAAACATTAGTTGTGGCATTTGCACACATTGATGTTTGTTTCACATTTCTATTCTATTCACCTGAAAATTTCCAAAAGAGAATGACCTTTAAAATGTTGAACAATAGGTATATGAGAATAAATAAGGTAGGTTCCTACATATATGTTACTAAAGCATAGGTCATAATTATATTAGTATTGAAGACTGCTACCTCAAAACATATTACCATTGATTATACATTCTACAGGAAAAGTTGATATAATCCTAATTCCTAATCACGTTTGTAACATACTGCTTGCACAATAAATATAAATATAAAAAAAATAAATTGTATGTAACAAATAATAATATATTACAGTATGTCAGTATTACACAAACAATACAGTAGGCACAAGGTAGATACTAAGTATCTAATTTAATACTTTCAAAAAATGTTTGCAACTATTTTAATTTATAAATGATAACCAACATTTAATGATGAGTTTAATGATGGCGGCTCATGAGTTTTTATGTAGTAGTACACATCCAAAAAAAATAAAACCAATATTATATATACGTAGGTAATAAATTGTATTAAGTAATTTTTTACAAATTTTAGTTATTCACCAATTAGCTTTTATTTTGTTTATATTTTTAAACAGAAACACGATTGTTTGAATTTCCAATAATGATCGCCTATAATTGGAAATATAATAAACGAATGAGAGTAAAAATAAATTATAATGCCTATGCCGACGCGGCGACGTCAAAAATAATTTGCTGAAAACAATTTAATTGGTTGTGTGCAAAAAACGAATGTGCCCATCAATATTCCATTATAACGCGGGCTGTGTTTCGACTTGTTTTAATTTTTAAAAAAATTTTTAACGGCCATACCGTTCCGTTGCAGACAACCGCCCATCTATTTGGCCATCGAAATAACCCAATCCAAATATTATTATGTTATTTTCATAATATTCTGAATTAATGTTTTTTTATTTTTTAAAATAATCTTAATAACACTATAAGTACTTAGTTGTATAATTATGATTTATGTTTTCAATTTTTCTTGAGTTTGGGTAGGTAGTGCACGTGCACTTGCACTTGTGCACATATTTGCCACCACTGGATGAGTTTATAAGTACCTACATAATATGTGTTAGTATTTAAAATGATTTATTTCTGAAATTAACCAAAACATAGTTAAAGATAAGTTGTAAATCATGCGCAAACATGATATTTTTAAATAATATTATCAAAATAACAAAGTTGAGTAATTAAAATATTTAACACAACTGCATTTAAAAGTTTTAAACTTTAACCAAATATGTTTGAAATTTCAAATAATAATTTTAAACAAAAAGTTACCCATTCTAATAAATATTAAAATATTAAATGGTCAACGAGTTCTGTAAATTAGGAAGAATAAAGTTTACCATACAAAAATGAACACGGTAATTTTTTTTTGTTATTATATTTCTTTGAAGTAAATTATTTGATTTAAGGCTACATACTTAAATCAACATTTTTAGTTATAAATAATAATATAGTTTTATTTTTTTGTAGTATAATATAACATAAGTTAAAAACAAATAACCAGGTCAATCACAATTTGTAATGAGATAAGTAATAAATATTATATTGTTCTCTCATCTGATATTAGTGTATAAATAAATAATGCATAACACTTATATCCAATTTTAATTTACAATATAATATTAGATTTTTATATTTTTTTTTTAATGAACAAATTATTATAATAATATCAACAAAATCAGTACCAAAACTTAATAATCTAAAAATAAGCTAGTAAATTGTATATGTGACTGATTCACATACAAAGTGAATACAAATAATAACTCTGGTAACAACAGTAATGACATAATTTTCTATTAGACATATGTACATAAAACACTACTATAATTTTCTTTTGATTGTAACAAAATTGTGACTATTCACCATTTTTCTTTTTAAGTCACCGAATAAAAATATATTGGGAATAAAAATATAGACATTTATATTGCACCAAAACATCTTTAAATATGTAAACAAACATATTTTGAATACTTAGATGATGAATATACATTAAATGTATATTTATACATATTTAGGATTTTCTTTTAATGTAAGTTATTAGGGTTGTCATGATGGCATTGATTCAAATGTCACACCTAACCGTTTTTCTAATGGTGATTTGTACTCCCAATTTTCTCCGTTTTGCACAAACCACTGAAATCAAAAATAGTTAATATTAAATATACATAACACATAGCTTTTAAAATTATGTACAAATATTTTAGTACTAATATAAAATCCTCTCTACATACCTAGAAAAAAATAAAAATATTCTCCTTTCACTTATTTTTCTTTTTATCTGTTTGAGTTTAAACTTATACAATATACATATTACAAATACATTATATAATATATATTTAATAATATTATGTAACATGTATATATTTTATTAGTACTGCTACTATACAAAATAGTATACTTTAGAGCAAGACCCAGTTAAGAAATTTTCAAATATGTAATATAACATCTGTTTTTGATGCATCGTATGTTTCCCTGTGATTTACTCTATTAGTGTAAATTCTTAAGACAATGTTATACTCGTGTTACTAATGTATAACATAGCAAACTTTTTACATTCAGAATTATCCATTTTACTCTGTTATTTTTAACATCAGAGTGAATTGACCTATTAGAAAATTTAAATGTAAGAAAATTATCCCTAAAAAAAGTCCCTAAAGATGATTTTTGGATATTTTAGTTTTAATGCAAATTATAGAAGTTTTAAATTTCACAAACAATTTACAGTTATAAAATGCTCATATGATGCATGTATAGTTAACTTGCTATACAATTTATATTAAAAAAAAACCCTAGAGTTTGATAATATATCAATTTACTCTAATATTAAAAATAATAGAATTACATGGATTATTCTAAACGTGTAATTTGATATGTTGTGCGCTTGTAAGACGGAAACAAAACATGTGGGTAGTCTTCAAATTCCAAAGAGTTGTATAAGTCAGTATTTTATGAAAAACGGATAAAACATATAGTGACTTCTGATTATAGGCTATAGAAATGTTAAAGGGACGTAACACTTATGAGAGGATGTAAACCTTTGAGGGGACGTTTTGCTTACATAGATCCCCTGTATATACAGTTCAAACATTAAAAAAAAAGTCAATGGAAAGGATTCTAAAGTACCAAAATTATTTAAAAAATTATTATTAATTTTATTTACTCGAGGAATCCAAACTTCATTACTCTCTTTTCGAACTTCAGCTTCATTTCTTTGTTTTTGTTCAATTTCAGCTTTAGCTTGACTAGCTTGATCTACATTATCAACTCTAAAAAATAAATTGGAATAAAAATTGTTAAGGTTTTGTAATTTGATAAGATATTATACAATAATCAAGTAATATAAATAAAATTGTTATAAAATAAATATTGTACAGGTGGATTTAATAGAATTCAATATTGCACCTATGTAATTAAAAAGGTATAGGTAGTGAATATAATATATTTCAAAATTTGACTTTTTTTCAACAAGAATGCAATATTTTTATCATAAGCTGACAAAAAATAATTTATAAATTTAAATAAAATTATATAACAATTAGTTACATTATATAATAATTTAAAAGAAATAAATACGGGGTGATTCTGAAATGGATGAGGTAACTAGTATAGGCGTACTCAGTGTGATGGCTCAATGAAGATTTTTTTGAAATTTTTTTTCTATCTTCAAAATCTGGGTTTATACAAATTATTTTTAGAACATTATCTTAAATATAAAAATAAATGGTCAAGTTAGATTTTTTGCAAAATTCTCATATGAATAGAAGTGTTACATCATTTTTGCGCTTGTGGTAGGTTTTTCACGCTCGAATCGTCGACTAATAAAAAAAGTGGTGTGGCACATCGTTTTGTATGAGAACACTACAAGATACACAGTGGTGATATTTATTTGTTGTAATTTACGACGCCGTAGTCCGCTTGGCCACTCAGTCCCCCATATATAATTATTAATAATAATATATATTAGATAGACAATAAAATTATTTGTTTATCGGGTAAGAACAAATAGATCAGACAATGTGTACATTTCCCGTCAACATAATATAATATGTATACATAAGTACACATATATACATACATATATACATATTATATTACTACTATACATATTAACTTTTGAACTGAGAAATTTATTTATTCTCTATTAATTCAATAGATAACTCATTTAGTCACGTTTAATCTATTATTTTTGAAAAGAATAGCAAGTCATGAATTGTTATCTACTTTATTTAGCAGTCTATCTTATTGGTCATTGAACTTAAATTGTATATAATAAATGCCAAAATAATAGGAAGAAGTGTCTCTAAACTATGTGTTAGAAATTATCATGGTTTTTTTTTATTAGCACAAATATTGAACTATTTGAAAATTGATTAAGTTTCAAATAACAATAAAGCTCTTACTTGAGTCCTAATGTAACCTTTTTCCAAATGTATCTAGATTCATTAGTATCTTGTTCAGCAACTTTGCGAACTCTCTTTTTAATAACTTCAATTGCTTTAGTATCAACAAACAATTCGGTTCTCTAAAAATAAAAACTATTAATAGTAATTTAATATTAATAAAGACCACCAGGACCATAATGACAATTGGAGTATATTAATTGTATAATAATACGACAAACATAATAAACATAAAAAAAATTAATTGTAATATGTGTATTACAATAAACTTTTTTTTTCTAAACTAATTATTTAGGAACAGAATGGGACCACTTAGAACAAATACTAGTGGACATAGTCTGCTTATACATTACAACTATACGACAAATCTTACTCTTTGTTTTTTAAGTTGAAAAAAGTTTATTAATATAAACACATTAGAGCAGGGGTTAACAATAAACGGACCACAGAGAAAAAAAATTAACTACCAAAAATATTTGACATTAATGTTGGGTTCATACATACATTACATGTTTAGATTATTCAGGGTAAAAGACAATTATTTTATTTTACACCTCTGTATAGACCTATAATAATAGGAAAACCTCTCGGCCCCTCAATTATGTTTAATCTATTTATAGGATACATAAAATATTCTTTTTTTCAAATCATCCCTACCCCCTTCTTAACTAACAGCTAACCCCTGTATTAGAGAATATATTGTGTTTGTTGTAGCTATTATTATCTAATGTTATATAATACTTATCGGCAATAAACTGCTTACTAGTAAAATATTAATACTTACGCCATCAGCCCATTTAGCTTCCATAGAACCATTCCATTCACCAGTAATAGTAAGAAATGCTTTTTTTGTCTTAGGTCCAAATACTTCTGCAGTAATGCGGTGTTTCTTTCCACCATAGAATGGTTTAGTATGGAATTCTATATCACAGTGGTAACCAGTTTGTGGACATGATATAGTTACAGATCCACCTAACTCAATCCATGGCACAGTTAGTATCGATCTATAAAAAAACAAATTTTGTAAGTAAAATTTTTATTCATTTTTTAAAGATTACTTATAAGTACCTGCCATAACCACTTGGGAATGTTGAAATGTATTCTTCTTTATGTTTTAATAATCTTACAATCCCCTGTCCCACATGATGAACAGCAACAGATAAGCCAAGAAACTTAGATTTAGTCCAAACATTTGCACAAAAAGTTACTTTTTTTTTCTTATGCTCAGCATAGAATGCAGATACTGAAAATGTACCAAAATAAAATAGGTAAATAAATTTTTGTAATACATAATACTTAATAAGAATTAATTTAAAGAGGTGATTTAAAGCAAACTTTGTAACAAATCATTGAATTAAATATGAAAACCGGAACAAGATATCCTGTGACAAACTACAAATATCAATATATATATTATACATTTAGTTGATCTTACTTGGAGGATGATGAGAAACTTGTTCAGCAAGGAATATCAATTGATCAGGATCAGTCCAAGGTAAAGGGTTTTCTTCTTCATTAATCACAGCGGCTTCTGAATTATTTTGAGCTGTAATATCATTTGACAATTCTGATTCTCCTGCAGTAATTCCAGGTACGTCCCAATGACAACGAAATATTTCACCAAGGATTGGATTATAGGGTTTTTTTGCAACAGCAGAATTTCGACCAGCATGATATGAAGATAAATACCAACGTACTATTTGAACCATTCGTTCTTCAGGTGTTTCCAAGTCATTTGCTCTATAAATAGTATATATAAATATATAAATAATAATAACACACAACAAAATAAAAATGTTATCATAATAAATATATTATATATTATATATTTTAAAAAACTTATAAAAATAATTACAAAGAAATACTTACTTGAGAAATAAATCTGGATGGGCTAAATAATCAGCATACATTTCTAATAATGAACGCTTTTCTAATATGAATGTTGGTAGGGCAACTTTTGTTAAATCCATACCTATTTTTACTTGAGATATGAGATGAGTAACAACTGAACCCTGCATAGTTACTATAACAAAAAATATATATATATACCTATATAAATATATTATACTACACATATATAAATATTATCCATTTTAAAATCAATGTGTTTTATCTTACCATCGGATTCATCTTGATCCTCGTAAATAGCTTTAAAACAATAAAAATGTAATTAAAAAAATTATACTTAAAAAAGAATAAAATTATATTATAATACCATCATAATTTATAGATCCATCTGAATAAGTAGGTACAACTATATTGTCTTTGCTATAACTATCCTTTTTTTTTGGCATATTTGCAATGGTCCGATCAGTAGTATCTAAAGATATTTGATTTAAATCTGAAGATCCCGTCTGAGTCAAATTCCCAGAATGAGCATCTAGAACTGGTTCACTTCCACTATGAAAAAAAAAAAATTATAAACATTTAAAACTTCAGATTATTAAGATTATTAGTTGTAAGAAAACAATGTAAAAAAATATTTTATATTATGATAGGTAACAAATTGAATTTAATGTATACTGAAACATATAATTCTTACCTAAGTAAACACAAACAAGGCAATATTTTTAAAGAAAATATAAAAATACATATGAGCAATTTGTATTTAAATAAAATGTATTGAAATAAAAAAATTAATTTTACTATTATATTTTGTGGAAATGTATAGGTAACTGATAAAACTAATTAATGAATGAGTTTTTGTTAATCTATTTACTTGAAATAAAATGCAAACATTATAATATATCACTAGAGATATAAAATTATCATTAAAATATCAAACTATTGTATAATATTGTTTGAAAAATATTAAACACACACTCAACATAAATACTTAACTTCTTGATAATTAACATTTATCTATTAGTAGGTACTAAACTATCAATTGTAAATAGTGCTGTATAATTATGTTTTGGGATTTTTTTTAAGAAAACTGTTTATAAATTACTACCTACTTATCTGTCTATTAACCTCTGTATTAAAATTTAAAAATTAAGTACAATAAAATACCCATAGTAAAAATATTTAAATAGTTAGTTGATGAAATGAAAGAAAAAGTTAAGCAGCAACAGGATATGGGCGTACATGGATAATAAAAAAAAAAAATAAATAATAACACTATCATAAATAAAAAAGGTGATTTATATCATATTTATCTAAATCATATACATTTATTTACGCATTAAAAAAATAAAATTACTTGCAATTACTAACTAAACAAAAATATAGTATAAATTGATTAAAGTATGAATTTTAATAAGCTGACAACTTTTATCTTAATTTAAAGAAGTTACGGTTCATCTTGTATGTTTAATAATCATTATTACTTGGAAGATTTATATCAGTTTCATTAAAATTGTAATTTGGTAATTAGGTAAATTTTTAACCTTTGGCTTTGGCCCATGTTGGCAGTTATTGCTGATTCTGGATTCCCGGGTGAGGTATTAGCCCAATTCCAAAAACGGGATATCATTTGTATAGCAGCTAATGCTTATATTATTGAATAAAACAAATATTCTAAAAATCACTAATACATTTTTTTTGAAATAGAAAATGTGTGAAAAAGTAAAAATCACCAATCACTGTTTAAACATACTAGATAAACTGTAGATAATATTATAGTATAATATAATTAAAGATAAAACAACAGACGGAAGGCCAGTAGTAATCGATTTGATAGAATTTGTGTATAAAACGAATATATTAATATAATAATAATTACATGAACTACGAACTACAAAAGTAGTGAAGACGGGTGATTACGTTGTGATAATAGTTCAAGGCCAAAATACAATATAATCAGCTGATCTTATGACGTCCTGTACCCTAACCAGGGTACAGCACGGACTCAATGATAAATGATTAAATGAACACGGAGGGAATTTTGATATTCTCGATTCTGCTTTCTAACAATTTCTCATCAATAAAATGTTGTTACTACTTAATACTTATCTGTTTTCCGAAAATTTGTTTCAATTATGTATTACAACAATAATTCCCCAGTTTAAGATAAAATTTAATATTATTAAGCCTATATTAAAATTTGCAATGGTTTGAAAAATCAAATTGTTTAAAACTTACCCGACGAGTATTCGGTTCTTGTACTTTCGTCGCATTGCAGGCACTGGTTCAATTTTACGACTAGGTTTAGACCATTCTTCTTCATCTTCATAAGCATCATAAAAATCGTCTTCAGACGAAGAGTAAGAAACATCTGGAATATCTGATAACACATTTTTGAGAAGATCGATTTAATTTTAGATTCTGAGTGGAACGATAATGTATTGATTTTACAATGAGGTGGGTTTTTTTTTTATTTTATTATTTTTTTATTTTTTAATTTATTTTTGTGTCTGTCATCACGGTTTGGGGCAGTAAAACTGCTTCGATTTTCTTCAATAGTATCTTGTTCGATGGGAAAGTGAATCTAGTTGGTGCATTCGGCAGGTCAAATTTTAAAATTCCCAATAGTTTTCACAAGCGCCGGGAAAAACAACATGAAAATTAAGGAAAAACTGGAATTTTTACGCAAAATCGGTTTTCCAAAAAATCGATTTTGGTTTTTGGTGTAACTCACAAATGAACGTATATACATGAAATTTTCACTGGTTGTTTATATTTGCATTTTCTATACACGATACAATTTTCAAAATATGATTTGTTTTGAACTGTTTAAGAACATTTTCATTTTCCATTTTTTTTAGTTTTTTTCTAAAAATATCAATACAATTTTATTTGTTAGTTCAAAAAGCTTGAAAATTTAAAAGAAGGCCCCTAGTATATTGTTTCAAAGGTAGGTGAAAAATATTAAAAATCCTTTGTCACAGTTTTTTTTTTTTATAAGCATTTAAAGTTCAAAAATTGACAAAATATGGAAAAATCACGAAAATTAGCAAATTATTTTGAGTTATGAATTCGTAAAAATTTTTCTTTTTAAATCTAAGGTTTTAAAATTTAATACAAGATTCCTTATAAGATTATCTACCTTTATCAAAAAAAAACATTGGATATTCACTCGATTTCTCGTGTAGTGATTTTTTATTTTGTTGTTATTCAAAAACGAATAACTGTAGATACATGAAAATTTCACTGAATATTTATATTAGCATTCCTTATAAACCATAGTTTTGAAAATATTTTGACTCTTTTTGAGCTGTTTACGGAGATTTACAGTTTTCAATTTTTTTAGTTTTATTTTTTCTATAATTATCAATAAAGTTTTATCTGTTGGGCCGAAAAGTGTAAAAATGTAATACAAGGCTCCTGATATTGTTACAATATCAGTTGAAAAATATTAAAAATACATTAACACAATTTTTTTTTATAAACATTTAAAGATCGAATTTTGACAAAATGTATCAAATTTAAAATTGAATAATTATATTTTGTAGTTAAAAATGTATAAAATGTTCAATTTTTATATCTAAGGATTGAAAATTTAAAACAAGATTCCATGTAAGTAGTTAATTCTGTTACCAAAAAATCTAAAAAATACATAAGCACAGTTTATTTTTATAGTCATTTTAAGTTCAAATTTGGACGAAATTATGTACTAAAAAACCTAGAATAACTATTTTAGTTATTTTGTTGTGATTGTATAATATTATTCATGGGTACTTGAAACTTCTAAAGTACACTATTATATATCTATGATAGTATCAGGGTTTGTTGTTGATGTATAACGCGTTATAAGTATCTAATGGATATTGTGATATGATTAATTTGGAATTTATTATAGGTAATTTTTATTTAATACGATAGATAAGTATATAATATGTTTAATACCTAGACTGACATACCGTCTCCGCTCAGAATCGTTTTTCTTATACAATGATATTATATAATTGAATTCAAATTTAATACTATCCATTATACAGTGACCCACTAAGTCTTGTATCCTACTGTACAGCAGAGCACCTTTTTTTTAATGTAACTCAGAAATTAATAATCGTTGATATTTAAATGTTCTCTAAATGTTAATGAGACCATACATAATACAATTTTTAAAATATTTTGAATTGAGCTATTTATAAGTTATAACTAAAGACCGGATTTATATTCTCTTAAAATACCCAAAATATGATGCTAATATTCTCTAAAAAACCTTCAAATATTCTCATTATATTCTCTCAAAAATTTAAAAAATATGCAAAAATAATCAAAAAACATCATTATATGCTTTAATATGCATTTATTTTAGATTCTGAGTGAAACGATGAATGTATTGATTTTACAATGATGTGTTTTTTTTTTTTATTTTTTTTTTTTATTTTTTTTTTGTGTCTGTGTACACGATAAGTAGTCGAAATAATGCTTCGATTTTCGACTTCAGTATCTTGTTCGATTGGAAAGTGAATATCGTTGGTGCATTGGGGAGGTCAAAATTCCCAGTACTTTTCAAAAGCGCCAAGAAAAACAAAAGAAAAATTAAGGAAAAACGGGAATTTTTACGCAAAATCGATTTTTCAGAAAATCGAATTTGGTTTTTGGTGTAACTTTAAAACAAATGACCGTAGATATATGAAATTTTCACTGGTTGTTTATAATTGCATTTTCAATACACGATAACATTTTCAAAATATTTTGATTTATTTTGAACTGTTTAGGGACATTTTCATTTTTCATTTTTTTTTAGTTTATTTTCTAGAAATATCGATAAAATTTTATTTGTTGGTTAAAAAAACTTGAAAATTTAATAGAAGGCTCCTAGATATTGTTTCAAAGGCAAATGAAAAATATTAAAAATCGTTAGTCACAGTTTTTTTTTATAAGCATTTAAAGTTCAAAAATTGACAAAATATGGAAAAATCACGAAAATTAGCAAATTATTTTGAGTTAAGAATTCGTAAAAATTTTTCTTTTTAAATCTAAGATTTGAAAATGTAAAACAAGATTACTCATAAGTTTGTCTAATTTTATCAATAAAAAAATCTCTACCGGACAGTCAAATTAAATTTTAATGAGCGTTTGAAATTCAAATTTTTACAACATTGGGCATTCACTCGATTTCTCATGTAGCGATTTCCTTATTTTGTTGTTATTCATAAACGAATAACTATAGATACATGAAAATTTCACTGAATGTTTATATTAGCATTTCCTACACCATACAATTTTGAAAATATTTTGACTTTTTTTGAGCTGTCTACGGATATTTTCATTTTTCAATTTTTTTAGTTTTTTTTTCTATGAATATCAATAAAGTTTTATCTGTTGGGCCAAAAAGTGTAAAAATTTAATACAAGGCTCCTGATATATTGTTACAATATCAGTTGAAAAATATTAAAAATACATAGGCACAATTTTTTTTTATAAGCATTTAAACATCGAATTTTGATAGAATTTTTCAAAATCTCGAAAATTATCAATCATCGTAATTAATAAATTATAAAATGTTCAGTTTTTATAGCTAAGGATTGCAAATTTAATAAAAAGATTCTCATAAATAGTTCATACTGTAGCCAAAAAATCTAAAAAATATATGAACACAGTTATTTTTTACAGACATTTTAAGTTCAAATTTGGGACGAAATTACATATTAAAAAACCTAGCATACCTATTTTCGTTATTTTGTTGTGAGTGTATAATACTATTCGTGGGTACTTGAAAATTCTAAAGTACACTATATTATATATCTATGATAGTATCAGGGTTTGTTATTGATGTATAACGTGTTATAAGTACCTAATGGATAATGTGATATGATTAATTTGGAATTTATTATAGGTCAATTTTTTTTTAATACCATTATAGATATGTATATAATTGTCTTAAACCTAGACTGACATACCGTCTTCGCTCAGAATCGTTTTTCTTATACAATGATATTGTATCATTGAATTCAAATTTAATAGCATCCATTATACAGTGACCCACTTGTAACCTCAACAGCAGAGCGACATCCACTTACCCACCTTTTTTTAAATTTTATTTTTAACTATATTTTTTTAGTGAGATATTAATTAGGTATTAAGAGTTGCATATTATACCTAATGGAATAGTATTGCACTTTAGCAAGAGTAAGAAGTTGGAATATAGGTAATATAAATATAACAGTATAGGTAATATTAAAACACAAAAACAAAATTTTGATATTTGAATAATTGATAAACTTATAAGTTGATCTTATCAGTAGATATACATAGATAAACCTTGATAATACTGCGGGTTTTATTTTTATCTAAATGAAAAAAAAAAATAAATTGTACCTAAATGGTCGAAAAAATTTTTTCAGAGTACTGTAATATTAAAATTAATAAAAATAAATACAAATTTTGCTCACAATTTACGAAATATTCCAAAATATGCTAAATGGGTTAAATATTCTCCAACCCATGAAATATTCTCAAATATGCAAAAAAAACTTTTTTCTACGCATTCAGAATTGTCCACATTTTTTACTCTCATAAGACTGCATAGACCCAGTAACGATATGTAAAAACATATAAATCCGGTCTTTAGTTATAACCATGACAAATTTTCGATTTTTAATAATTTTAAGTATTGTTGATTAAAAATGTTTTGCTTAGTGAAAAAACTTTGAAATTTAATACATGGTTTCTTATAATAACAATTTACAAATATCTAAGATACTTAGGCACGATTTTTCTCTATAAGAATGTTAAGTTCAAATATTGACAAAGTTCATCAAAATCACGAACATTTTAAATAATTTTGTAGTTACATTTATAAACATTTTTACTGCCAAGAATTGAAATTTTAAAACAAGGTTTCTCAAAGTATTACTTAATGTAACCAAAAAAATTAAAAAATATATATACATGATCTTTAATAATAGATTTTTCATGTTAAAATGTTGACGAAATTATATATTTAAATAGAGATTACAGGCTAACTCAGAATACAGCCTTCACTCAGAATAAATTTGTAAATACAATGATTTTATATAATTGAATTAAAATTAAAACATTCGTTACAATTTACTACAGTCACTCACAGTGTGAGTCTCACACGACCAGTGGCGTATCTACTAGGAAACAAAAGGTTGTACACAATACAACATGTTTCTAATAATATGAATATAATATGTGTATACTGAATTTCTCTTAAAAATTAGATACACCTCTACCTTGAAAAAATCCTAGATACGATACTGCACACGACACCTAAAGTACAGCAGATGAAAGGTATCATTATTGATTATAAATACTACCTATTTATAAATAATGACAGTATATCCATTTACCCAACTTTTTTATTATAATTTATATGCAGTGATTCTTACATCAGTAAATACTTATTATCTCTTAAAGAATTTAAGTATTTAAAAACAATTTTTTTTTTCTAATTTGAAGTCATTATGAAACAAAATGAACGAAAAAATTACAATTTTTAATGGTTTTACATTTTTTAAATGACAATACATATTTTTAATTTGATATTGTGAAGCAAAATATTTTTGAAAATGTTTGTTTAAAAATCAAATTTCAGACGAAAAATTAATTAGTTATAACTTATAACTAGGGCTCGGATTTTGTAGAAAATGATTCTTTTGAGGGGAGTGCGATAGAAAAATAATTCTTGTATATAAATACGTTTTGAGTCGTTCCGAGTCTTTCTGATTTTAATGAATTGATGTTTTTTTGCTTTTTTCCATAAAACCTGCTTTTTATGGCTTTTTCCCTATTTAGTTCTTTTTTCTTAATTTTTACATATTTTTCTTGAAAATTTAACTTATTTCTATATATATTATACTTGGACTATGTTATTATTACTAGAAATTATAAAACCAGTGAAAAAACCAGTAATAAATGCATGACTGATAAAATAACTATCGTTATTGTGCCGAAAATGTATATAGTTTTATCTACAATTATCTATAGTTGTATTTACGACTCAAGGAAAGGGAAAATTATCTGAATTATATCTGTGTATTTTTATAGCACGTTCTAATACTTCAGTTGACCGGTAAATATTAATCGACAATCAGTGAGGTATATAGTTTTCTAAATAATTTCTCTATAATCGTCAAAATGCCAAAAGTTAAAAATGATAATTTAAAATTAAAAAAAATCGTAAGAGAATTCGGTGAAAATGTGCTTATGACTGACGGAAATATTATATTTTGTAAATTGTGTGACTTTAAAAAATCAATAATATTCATAATGGCACTGTACTAAACATAAATATGGAACAGTATGATTTAGTTTATATGAAATATGCACCCATTACATCGATTGACGTGGAAAGGTCTTTTTCTATGAATAAAAATATATTAGCACCCAATAGAATGAGTTTTGATGAAAGTAACTTGACCAAACTATGGTCGTAAATTCCTTTTTTAATATTTAATTTTATGTGTAATTGAAATTTGTTTTTTTAGAATTAAATTTAATAATTGCTTTTTTTGGCTACTTAAAATGCTTTTTTAAGGATTTATTTTCCTACAAAATCCGAGCCCTACTTATAACTTTTATGAGAGCCTATTTAAAGTATAGAGTGGAGTGGAGTGGTACAAGCAGGATTCCCTTGTTGGTCCGCTACTCCGCTTATCTGAACTTAAAAATAAATAGGCTACTATTTATAGTACTAATAACAGGTAAAGACGTAAAGTTATAACTACTAACTAAAATGCGATTTCAATGCAAATTGCATTTTTTATTGGAAAATCTTAACTCTAAAAATGGTTTCCAAGTGAACAAGTAGGTTACCTTCGAAATTTATTCCATACATAATAGTATGAAAAAATGAAAATTGGATTTTGTAGTTTGTTATATTTTTGGCCATATTTACTTTATGAATACATTTTTAGCATTTTTGTACCAGATGAAAATGAAAATTTCTTCCGAAATTCTTAAACAAAATATTCGTTTGTAACCGCAATACATTTTGAAATGATTAACTGCTGGAAACTATGGTCTCTACAAAGTACGAACATTGTATTTTATCTTTTATAAACGTAATTGACTGTAACTGATTTTAAATAATAGCTTATCCGTATATACTATATTATAGCCTTGTGTTTATAAAAATATTATATTGGTAGCTGTCGTGCAAAGAATTTATCACGTATTCATGTAATCATGTACACACCAAAGATAAAAATAAACAGAATGCAGATACGTACCTACTTACTTATATTTTTAACAGTTCATACTTTTTTTTTTAATTTATGATTTGTTTTAAATGTTCCTATGAATAAATAGCAATTCAAATTAACACAAAATAAAACGATTAAATACAAATTAAGATATAATTAATATATTTACGCTGGATTGCATAAACAAATTTATTAAATTTAATTGTTCACTAAAATGTAATGGACCAATCTTGGGCCACTAAATGTTGTAAAGGGACAATTAGCTCACAATTGATTCATTAAATGTTTAATGCAACTCGGCATAAACGTGTTTTTTTAATGAGTTTTATACAAATAAGCTTTTGGGTTTTTAAGATATTTATTCAAAGTTCAAAGATATTTTTTGACGTTTTGGGACAATTTTTTAATGAGATTATTTAACTTTTTAGTAATAATTGCAACTTTTAAGAACATTTTAAAGCATTTTTTAGGACATTATAACCCACGCCCTAGATTATTACCAATTAATTATTGGTTCGAAGTTTGATTTTTATATACAGTGAAACTTCCATACAACGAACTTCCATTTAATAACATTTTCCGGTTAACGAAATATTTTTAAGAACCAAATTGATTCAATTCTATTCAACGAAATTCTCTATAATACTAATTTTTTTTATGCCCCATTGAGACTTTTGAATTTCGTTAAATAGAATTGAATAAATTTGGTTCTCTAAAATATTTCGTTAAACCGAAAATTTTGTTAAATGGAAGTTTCACTGTATTATGAAGATATATTCGACTAATTTGTTAAAAGAAGCCAATACCTAACGAGTACATTTTAAATGAGTAATAATAGTATTTACTGCTTAAATAATCAATCTGTACCTATATAATACTGCGTAATGTACAAGTCCGGATTAAGGATCAATTAGGCCCCGGGACACCATTGTGCCATACACTTTGTGGGCCCCCTTTCAAATTTAACTTCGAAATAATTGTATTATTACATATTAACGACTTTATATAATTGTATAATTTTTTACTATGCAAAAAATATACAGAGTGTATCTTATGTCATAGTACGAGGGGTTTCTTTTTAACAATTATGGATCGATATGATATGGAATTTCGTTAAAACAAAAAAAGGCGTGTTTCTTTATTTTTAACTGGCATTTTTTTTTTTATAAAATTTTCAAAATTTTTGAACACTCAGTTGTACCTGCAATAATAAAATCGACTTTATTTTTCAAATATTTCCTAATAACCACTATATTTTTTCATGGATTCTGGTAAAGCTTTTTGTCTGAATATTTTGACAGTCAAATGATCAATTTTAGTTTGCTAGGTTATTACTTATTAACTATAGGGTCCTCGAAAGTTTAGTATAATATGCATTAATGCTTTTAACTGAAATACCTAATTTACAAGAGCTAAATGTTTTTTCTTATAACTACCTATATGTATACTTAGATAGTTGAATCAGTAATCGAAAATGCTCAAAAAAAAACAACATAATCAAAATTGTGTTTGCCAACACAGTTCATTATTTATAGTAATTTTTCGTGATATAAAATTGAGAAAAATTTTATTTTATAATTATTATTTATTAAGTAATAATAATTTACCTACTACCTATACCTACCTACTTAAATATATATTGGGGATAAAGATGGGCCCCGGGACCGTGCCACCCTTGGCCCACCCTTAAGCCGGGTTTGATAATGTACCTACGCATCAACATTATTTGTTATTAGTTATTACCATTATCCATTGGTTGAGAATCTCTTCTAGGACGTTCTTCACATTCAGCTCCATATTCTATACTACCCGTGTCTCCTAAAATTAGTTTTAAAAAGTAACATTATTATTATAGTGTGTATAAAATATTTACGTATATCTACATAGAGATAACAGATAAAGATAATATATTTTTATTGTTCTGTAATTGTATTTACCTTCTAAACTAGGGAAATCATAATCTGTGGAAACAGATGTTGTTCGATATGATCCATTAACAGGGAATGCGGTATTCTGAAAAGTAATAATCAAAGTAATTGAAATAATTTTTTTATACATACCTATTTATTATTAGTTTGTTGTTAAAAATGTACTAAAAATATTACCTTAGCTATTTGTAACATCACAATTGAATGCTTTACTTGGTCCATTAGTTTCTAAAAAAATTTTTATAATAATCAAAACACAAATAAAATAAAAATAAAAATAATTTGACATGGAATCATAGAATTTTGGCAAGAAATAGAAGTGTTCAACTTCATGATTATAAGTTTGAAAACAAGTATGTTTGATAAACGATTTTAAAATAGTTTGTGTTTTCTAAAGTGCTTCACGAGTTTTAAGTTTTTAAATACTGTCAAAAAAATATCTCTGAAGTGTAATAATAAACCTGGTATAAATTAGTTACCTTGTGGTTTGTTTAAAAAAGTTAAATCTTAAATACTGGGTATAAATTGTGTATAATATGTAAGATCATTAAAATTGTTTTCTATAAAATTGGTGGATTTAGCGATATTTTTAATTTGATACACATCATTTTTTGTAACATAGAATTTAGACGACCCTGTGAGAGTATAGAATATAGAATACACATAGGTGGTCAATGATGCTTTCCATCTTATATATAGTATTTTACATGACAAATTAGATAAGTATCATCACAGTTGTACTAGTTTTGAGCAGTAGATACGCATCTTCTTCACCTCCGGCCTATATCGTAGTTCTGCACTTCTCATTGGCTGATTCTGTTAATCTGTTCTATGTTATATATGTATGTATATGATTGAAAGCCAATAAGAAGTGGAGAACTACGATAAATGGGAAGTAAAGAGCGGAGGATGCGTATCAAAATACTGTGATAATACCTATCTAATTTGTCATGGTATTTTATATTATTTAGTATATACTCTGTACCATGGTTTAAATATACAGGGTTGTTGTAATAGTGCCCCCACTATAACATTTTATCACATTAAGGAATTAAAATGGCAGCGTAAGGGAACGACCTATACTGGTTATACTATGAAATAATATATGAAGATATGGACGGTACCCTTAAGCTGGACGTCGCACTCGGCGATTCATTTGGATGCGCCCACGCGGTTAGCTCTTATTTGGTATGGAGAATAGGTACCGGGTAATTCATTATTAAAATAGGACACTCATTATTCAAAAAGTATTAATGTTTTTTGAAAATATTTTATCTTACATGATTTCAAATCGTAACAAAATAACATTTTTATTAAATAAATTATATTTTTAAATGTTTTTTATCCTAATAATTTTTTGATTTTTTCACTCTTGAATTATTACACACAGTTTTAATTTCATCTTCGAAAGCCGGTTATTTTTCTGAGTAATTCTATACATAAAAATCGAATTTAGGATGAGTAGCTTATGAGTTATAAGTATTTACAGTTTAGATGAGCGGAGTGGTGGAGCAATTTTTGAGTGATAACCGCGTATAGGTACTATCTAGGTACTTCACTCCGATCATTTATTCTATACTTTAAATACTTATAAGTTATAACTCATAAACTACTCATCCTAAATTCGGTTTTTATGTATCAAAATACTTCAAAAAATATTCTGCTTTGGAATATTAATTTAAAACTGAACGTTGTCATTCAAAAAAGTAAAAAACTTAAAAAATTTTAAATATAAGAAATATATACAATGTGTTTCTGAAATGGATGAGGTAACTAGACTCCATTCAAAATAAGACCGTGACCAGGCGGCCGAGTTGTGCGCATGGGCGTGCCTTTGTTCCGTGGCAGCGCCCGACGTGTCGCCGCGCCGTAGCCACAGCGTTTGACCATGTGTCTGACCGCCGCCCGACGAAAACTGGTCGCCGCCTGGTCACGGTCTTATTTTGAATAGAGTATAGTATAGGCGTACTCAGTGTAATGGCCCAATGAAGATTTTTTTGAAATTTATTTTCTATCTTCAAATTCTGGGTTTATACAAATTATTTTTAGAACATTATCTTAAATGTAAAAATAAATAGTCTAGTTGTATTTTTTGCAAAATTCTCATACGAATCGAGGTGTCCCATCATTTTCACGCTTGTCGAGCGTTTTTCACTCTCGAATCGCCGAGTAAAAAAAAAATGGTTTGGCACATCGATTTGTATGATAACACTACAAGATAAACAGTGGTGATAGTTATTTATTGTTATTTAAAATACATGATTAATTAATGCATTATTTTACTTTGTCAACTAATAAAAATGATAAAATAATAACAAAATAAGGGTTAAAAAAGTTTTAAATGATCGAATTTACTGACATACTGACATACATTGATTTGTGTGACTTAGATGTACAGGTAATAAAATATGGTAACTTTTATCCGTGCTGTCTATATTATAAAATAACTAATTGACCGTAACTTTTACATAAAGAACATTAGTTGATTTGATTATAGCTGACTTCAATACTGGAGTTTCAATATCCATTGAACAACACTTTAAATTTATTTTTAAGATTGAATAGTTTTTAATTTTAATTTTTAACAATGGAGTACACTAACATTGAATATTCAGAAAGAAGATGTTTATGCCAACGAATTACCGAAATAATAGAGATGAATTTTTGATGAGAATTAATAATGTAGCTGATATCATTCGTCAAACAATAAATTTGTTGGAATAAACTTGGAATTCATTACATCGTCGGATCGAAAGTGCATCGAAGTTAACGGGAGTCACATACTCACATTGAACAACTGTAGATAAAAATAGGTTTTCAAAATAAAGTGTATTCAATTATAATTATTTTACAGCGTAACACAACTTAAATGTATGTCAGTAAATTTGATAATTTAAAACTTTGTTAACCCTAATTTTGTTATTATTATCATTTTTATTAGTTGACAAAGTAAAATAATGTGTTAATTAATCATGTATGTTAAATGACAACAAGTAAATATCACCACTGTCTATCTTGTAGTGTTCTCATACAAATCGATGTGCCACACCACTTTTTTTTTAGTCGGCGATTCGAGCGTGAAAAACGTGCGACAAGCGCTAGAATTATATGAGAATTTTGCAAAAAATGTAACTTGACCATTTATTTTTACATTTAAGATAATGTTCTAAAATAATTTGTATAAACCCAGATTTTGAAGATAGAAAAAAAATTTCAAAAAAATCTTCATTGGGCCATCACACTGAGTACGCCTATACTAGTTACCTCATCCGTTTCAGAAACACCCTGTATATTTTTAACAATTTTGTTTCTAACGACTAATATTGACTATAAAACATCATGTAAAAAAAAAATGTTCAAACACATTTATACTTTTTGAAATAATGAGTGTTTGATGATAAAAGAATCACCCGGTATAAGATATTAGTAAAAACAATACATCTCACACTGTATACATACATATTATCATAAGAGCACTTTACAATTTAAATTAATATTAATAAAATGTAAATGCAAACAAATATATTTACATTAGTTTCTGAAATTATACATTCACAATGTGCTTTGTCTTCCTCGCACATCGAATTCATTTTTACTTCTAAATTCTGGAAAATAAAATATATATACATTTTACATAGGTATAATATTATTATCATAAGTTTTTATAAGGTATTTATATTTAAATTATTCAAACCTTAGTTTGTTCAATAAGAAGCTGTAAATAAGCATCAGCTTCTCCTAATTTCTTATCAAAACTCTCCAAAGTAGGAACAACTGCATCATTATTTACCTAACAAAATAACATCGATTGTTATACATAATTTATATAATTAGTATACCTATATTTTATTTAATGTATACTATAACAATAACAATTAAATTAATATATAATCACAATACCTTTATTCGTACGGTTGGTTTACACATACTTAAACATCCACCCATCATACCTACGTCTATATATTGAATATTATGCAATACGCGCACATACATTTAATTTAGGTTTTTACCGTTTTTGATGTATATTTCACTTCAAGCACACACGGACTAAAGGTTTTGCTGCACATTTATGAACAGACTATTTCATTTGCTTAGTTAAAAAAAAATCAATATACACTAGAGCTAAATGGTTCAAATTTCCGTTGGAAGACTGTGTACATCATAAAATAATACCAAGGCAATTAAGGTCAGAATTGGATTAGTGCAACCAGTGTTGAACCTACTACCTATACATGGCTGTATATAAACCAACTTCTATACTTGTAATTTAATAATACGCACCCTCTTTCGAGACATATGTTTTCTTATACTATCAGTCCGACAATAATTAAAGGTTTCTCTTTTATAATACATAGACAGCAAGACGTTATTTTGGTTCAAAAACAATATTTTATAGTTTCTAAATATATTATATATAGTACAAGACGTACAAGTGGCAAAATTAAATATATTAAGTAGTTCTTATCATTGGTACATTTTTCGATAAAATTATTCTATATTCAAAAAAGACGCCATTTTTATGATGTTGTGACGAGGCAATTCAATATTTTTATGCTTTTTTTGCAATTTTTCCTAATACCTCTCTTTTTAATTGTTTAGTTAAGTGAGGGGTCTCTATATAGAGTAGATCTCTATTGTATTTGAATGTAATACTTTTTCGGAGAAACTTTTAAATAGTTTCAAGTTTTTTTTTGTGAGTTGTTCTAATTACTATTTAGTGCGCCACGTAGACCATTTTTCCATTTTATAGAATTCTGGGAATCAGTTTTGTACCAATAGCAAACGTGATCAAATTAAAAATATATATATTTTTTTAATTTCTTTCTTTGCACGCCAACACGGGTATTATATAAAACAATATATGCGCCATTATTGTTAATTTAGAGTGAAAGAAACCCTGGTCATTTATACGTTTATGCACCAACAAATAAGAACTGAATGAGGTTCACAAACTTTTAGTGATGATTTAAAATTACATAAGAAATTTGTCAATAGTAAGTTAAATTATACAGTAAATAGTTAAAATATGAAAATAAATATTTTTCACTCTGGCGAAGCCGGGTAACCCTCTGCAACTAGTAATACACAGAGTTGGACATATCATAGTTACATGTAACTAATTAATGTAACTCGGTTACTTTTATAATTTGTAACTTGTAAATTGTAACAAGTTACTCATTTATAATCTAACATGTAACTTGTAACTAGTTACAAATTTTCCTGTAACTTTATATGTTTTAAATTTTCAATCCTTAGCTATAAAAGTTGAACATTTTATATATTTTTAACTATAAAATAATAATTATTAAATTTTATATTTGATACATTTTGTCGAAATTCGAACTTTAAATGCTTATAAAAAAAAAATGTGCCTATGTATTTTTAATATTTTTCAACTGCTATTGTAACAATGTATCAGGAGCCTTGCATTTAATTTTCACGATTTTTTACCCAAAAAAAAAATTTTACTGAAATTTTTATAGAAAAAAAGCTAAAAAAATTTAAAACTGACAATGTCCGTAAACAGCTTAAAAAGAGTCAAAATATTTTCAAAATTGTATGGTGTATAGAAAATGTTAATATAAACATTCAGGGAAATTTTCAAGTATCCACAGCCATTCGTTTTTTAATTGTAACAAAATAAGAAAATCGTTACATGAGAAATCAAGTGAATATCAAATGTTGTAAAAATATGAATTTCAAACGCTCATAAAAATTTAATTTGACTTTCTTGTAGACATTTTTTTTTTATTAAAGGTCGGCGCACTTACGAAGAATCTTGTATTACATTTTCATATCTTAAATTTAAAAAGAAAATTTTTTATGAATTTCTCACTCAAAACAATTTTGCAAATTTTAGTCATTTTTAAGTATTTTTTAATTTATATTTGAACTTTAAATGCTTATAAAAAAAAATTGTGACTATGGATTTTTAATTTTTTTTCATCTGCCTTTGAAACAATATACTAGGTGCCTTCCATTAAATTTTCAAGCTTTTATAACCAACAAATAATATCAATTAACCCATCAAAAAGCGCAAGTGTTTTATTCAGTCTACGGCTTAATCCTACTCCACCACCGCTAACTTTTAACAATGAACCAATCGCATGGAAGCCGTCCGTCAAATACCTTGGCGTGACGTTGGACAAAAGATTAAACTGGTGGCCACACCTCTCATCTAATCTCCAACAAGCCTATCAACGTCTAGGGATGCTCTTCCCTATCTTAAACAGGAAGTCTTTGCTACAAAAAAAACTTTCACTACATATTTATAAAAAAATACTACGTCCATTAATCACATATGGTTGCCCTATTTTGGGTAAATGTGCACAAACTCATCTTAATAAACCGCAAATATTTCAGAACAAAGTTTTAAGAGCGATATTACTAACGTTCCATGGTTCGTGAGGAACTCAAGCATACACAAAGACCTCAAAATTCCAACTCTTCAAGACCACATCAAGTTCTTGGCTCGAGCTTCTTCGAATCCATCCACAAGTCAACAGGCTCATTGCACTACCACATCAACATCAGACCACCTACACAAAGCCGCCTCCAACGTGGTCGGCCGCATGACCTAATTCCTCAAGAAACACTCTAACTCAAGCCTCTAACTATTATTATCATTTAACATAAAATTGTAATAACTAATTATCGCACTTAACGCGTCAAAATGTATTAATTATCCTTCATCTCTAGGTATAGATAGCAACTAGCTAGGAATACAATAAAAAAAAAAAATTGTCAATATTTGAACTTTAAATGCTTATCAAAAAAAACTGTGACTAGGGATTTTTAATATTTTTCATATGTCATTGTAAGAATACAGTAGGAGCCCTGTATAACATTTTCAAATTGTATATAATTTTATTATTTTATTTATAGAAAAAAAAATGGAAACTGAAAATGTCCGTAAGGAGCTCAAAATAAGTCAAAATATCATTTTATGGTGTACATAAAATGCTAATATAAGCAGTCAGTAAAAATTTCATGTATCTACGGTCATGTGTTTTAGAGTTTCACCAAAAACCAAAATCGATTTTTTCGAAAACAGATTTTACTTAAAAAATCCCGTTTTTCCGTAATTTTTCTTTTGTTTTTCACGGTACTTTTGAAAACTACTGCGAAATTGTTGACCCCCCCAAAATACCAACTAGATTCACTTTCCTATCAGAAAAGATACTGTTAAAGAAAATCTAAGCAGTTTTACTGTCCTAAAAGGTGATGACCGACACAAAAATAAAAAATAAATTTAAAAAAAAAAACACATATAATTATTGTAAAATCAATACATTCATCGCTCGGCTCAGAATCCAAAACGTTTAATACAAGATTCCTCATAAGTTTGTCTACCTTCATAAAAAAAAAATTCTACCGGAAAGTTAAATTAAATTTTGAAGTTAGACATCGGATATTTTCCTGTAAATTGACAAATTCTCATGCAACGATTTTCTTATTTTGTTTTTATTCAATAACTAATAAAGTAGGTAATAACCGTAAATACTTGAAATTTACACGATACATGTTTATTTTATCATTTTTTATACTTGATACAATTTAAAAAATATTTCGACTATTTTCGACATTTTCAATTTTTATTTTTTTATTTATTTTGTAATAAATGTAAAATAATTTCTTCTTGTTTGGTCAAAATGCTTGAAAATTTAATACCAGGCTGACGGATCCTCACTATTATTATTACAAGTACCAGTTTAAAAATACTAAAACTACTTGGTCAATTTTTTTTTTATATTCTTTTTTTGGTTTCACAATTAATCTGGCCACTAGATATTCATTAGTTGTCCGATTATAGTTGGTAAGTATATCTTTTTTTCCTAACATGACGATCAAAACGCGATTTTATCTAGCCCCTGGCCGGTCAATAATTCTTTATACATATACCAATGTAACTTTTAACTTTAAATGTAACTTAGTTACATTTAACTGTAACTTGTAACCAGTTACAATAAATTGAGTAAATTGTCCAATCTTGGTAATACATATTTGAATAGTCAATACTTTAGATAGCAAGTCATATATATTTCAGCTAAATGATGTTTATATTTTTAAATTCCACAAAAAATATGAACTGTCGATAAATACACTTTTTATATTCTATCATGAATCAGAAATGTATAAATTACCATGCAATTAACCTAACAATAAGTTTAACATTTAGTGTGAATAAAATAAAACAATTCAAAAATAAATAAATTTATATTTAATATGTATACCTACATAAAACGAATAATACATACTTTTTTTACAAGATGAGACAAAAAAATAATTTACGAACGTTACAAAACTAGTATACCAAGAATATATTATAATCTTAATCTGAAAGTGAATATGAACTATTATTCGATTAGTATAACTTACAAGTTACAATAAAATTGTCAATTAAATAAAATATGAAAATAATAATTAATATTTAATGTTATATACCAGTAAACATTCATCAATTTTGGAATAAGTTATTTTATTAATATTCCCGGTGATACGTTTAAAGGTAAACACATGGCATATTTTATTTCACGCGGGCTTTACAAAACAATACTAATTTTTTTAAATCTTTTTTAGATTCTGAGCGGAGCAAAGAATGCGTATTGATTTTATAATGATGTGTTTTTTTTTATATTTTTCATTAATTTTTTTATTTTTGTGCCTGTCAAGACCGTTTGGGACACTAAAATTGTTCGATGGGAAAGTGAATCTAGTTGGTGCATTCGGGAGGTCAAAATTTTAAATTGCCAATAGTTTTCAAAAATAGGGGGAAAAACAAAACAAAAATTAATATTTTTTACGAAAAATCGGTTTTTGGTGAAACTAAAACAAATGAACGTTTATACATAACATTTTCACAGAATTTTAATATTCGCATTTTCTATAAAAGATAACATTTTCAAAATATTTTGATTTGTTTTGAACTGTTGGACATTTTCACTTTCCAATTATATTAGTTATTTTTTCTATGAATGTGAATAAAATGAATGTAGTTATTTGTTGGGTAAACAGCTTGAAAATTTAATACAAAGCTCCTACTATATTCTTACAATGCCGTTTGAAAAATATTAAAAATCCTTAGTCACAGTTTTTTTTTAGAAGCATTTGAAGTTAAAATCTTGAGACAAAATACTGAAAAATCACTTAGCAAATTATTTGAGTTAAGAATTCATAAAAATTTTTCTTTTTAAATCAAAGATTTGAAAATGTAATAGCTTTATAAAAAAAAAAATGTCCACAAGCAAATCAAATTAAATTTGTATGAGTGTTTGAAGTTTATATTTTTACAATATTAGATATTATTCACTTGATTTCTCATGTAGCGATTTATATTAAAAATACATAGGCACAATTTTTTTTATAAACATTTAAAGTTCAAATTTTGACGAAACGTATCAAATTTAAAATTTAATAATTATTTTGTAGTTAAAAATTTATAAAATGTTCAACTTTTATATCTAAGGATTGAAAATTTAAAACGAGTTTCCAAGTAAATAGGTTATATATAAATTACTTTATTCACAATAATATCATCAAATATACTTAGTAAAATCATAGGCTGACTGACCGTCTTCGCTCAGATCGTTTTTCTTATAGCTACAATGATATTTTTATATCTTTGAATTCAAATTGAATACCATCCATGGTAGTGACCTACTTGTAACCTACTGTAAAGCAGAGCGACACCCACTTGCCACCTTTTTTTTATGTTTTTAACATTTTTAATTGATAGTATACACTTTAATTTCATATTCGAAGACAAAATATTTTCTTGAGGATTTCGATATATTATAGAAATTAAATTTCAAACGAATAGTTAATTTATTATAAATATTTAAAGTTAAGATGAAAATAGAGCAGTAGACCAATATTTAGCGAAATATTTATTAAGTTCAAACTTAAGTATCTAGGTTTTTAATTTTACAAGCACAAATATTTGATACACTGATTATAAGGAAAGTTTCATTTTGTAATTTTATAACGAAAAAAACAAAATTGTCACATTACAGACTCTATATTATAATCACATACGGTTAAGAAAAAATCATTTTTTGTTTTAAACAAAAGTTAAATAGATAGAACAGAAAGGTAATTCAATGCAATAGTAAAGTTTAATCACTTACTATACAAACCGTATATGAAAAAAATATCTTATTGTAATTTTTTGATTACCTACCTGTATTTGATTAACTCTATATCCAAACAACTGTTTTTGTATAGTATCTTCTAAAGCGCGTATCCAAAGCTCTCGGTCAGCACGAGTCCTTGCTTGAAAATGGAATGTTTTGCCATCTACTGTTACAGTAAATGTAAGATTATCTTCATCATCAATGCCAATCATAGCTCCTTTCAAACGAACACAGCCTCGGCGTACACCACGTACCATTTTTTCTCGAGACTAAAATAAAAATTCATCGTTTAAGAATAAATGGCAATTTATAAAAGTTATAATGCCCAGTATTTTTATGTGAATATTGATGTACATATCAATCTTAGTAATTGAACAAAAAACAACTAGTTTGTTAGTTGTTTAAAGTGTATGGAAGTATAATGAAGTGTTAACTAAATATTCATGCCAGAATCGATAAAAATATTTCTCCACCCGCCACAATTCACTACTCCCAAAGAATGTAATTGTATAGATGTGTGCACTACTGCACTAGTCGTATTTTAAAACTAAGTATGTAAGTAATGATAACATTCTTCCAAATTTGTCTAAATAATTTATTTTTATTTTAAAGGTAGATAAAATCTAACATATATAGATTAATGAAGTCAAGACCATTTCAGAGCCTCACTCGTTTGAATACTTATAAAAAAAATTATCATTAAACGGCTAAGTATTATTAGGTACGTAATTTGTAAAGGGATTTAAAATACTAAAATAATGTAATTCATATAAATGTACAATTATTTATTTAGTTTATCCTCAATAATCAATATTCCATAATTTTTCATTTATATTTCTATAACTACCTAGTACCTATCATGTTAATTAATTTAATTTTCATATTCGTATGATGAATAATAAAATATAATTATTGAAACATATTATAGATTTTATTTTATAATAAAATAAAAATTATACTGAAATAGGTACCTATATTCAGTTTATTCCTATTAGTAAAATATATAGGGCAACTTTTTTCCTTACTGGAATACCCCGTTTAAAGTTATCATGTTGAGGTCTTTGACCTTAGATTTTAATTCATGAATCTTTGATGAGCAGGAAATAATGTCTTCTTGAACCATGAATAGTATTGCATATATTAAAAGCGCTTTCCTAGACCTTTTATCAGAACCGTGAAGATGACACAACATTGGTCAATGGTAGAATATGATCGATTGCAAGTTAATAGCTAGTTGAATTTTTTTTAAGTTTAAACATAGTAATATATAGAATTATTTTAAAGCTTATATTTGTATAGTTCATTAGACGCAATTAATAAATAAATATAATTAAAATTTATGGGTGTTCTCTAAATCAATTTATTATTATTACTTTCAAAATTATACTACAATAAAAATGGTATTTATGACGTGGTTTGAGATCCTTGATGGGCAGATTGACCCAGGTAAGCTTTTTTACGTTTATTAATTTATAAAAAGTATTATTTACTTTATACTTTTTAGACTGGAGGACTAAAGATTGGCCTATGATGTCGACAACTGCAATCCCTGTATTATTAGCTGTAATATATATTATTTTTGTCAAATTTGTTGGTCCAAACTATATGGCAAATAAAAAGCCTTACATCCTTCGAAAAGTTTTAGCAATCTACAACACGGCACAAATATTAGCTTGTATATATCTTACTGTGGAGGTGATTAATTTTTGATATTTATAATATTAACTTAACTTGTTATATTATCCTATTGAAAACTTTTAAAATCATTAATTATAAAATATCGCAAACCCATATATTTATTTTATAGTATTTCAAAACAAAACCAAAAATGGGGTGTGATCCACTAGATGTGTCTGATGATCCAACAGCATTATACGTAATAATTACCATACAATTTATTTGTATTAGCAAACTTATTTAGTTGTTTACATACATTTTACTTTTTAGGCAGCAAAATTAGTATGGTGGACGACAATTTTAAAATTATCTGAATTCATTGAGACTGTAAGACCATTTATTAGAGTACATTATACTTATTTAACAATACCACTATTTGTATGAGATTAATTCATTAAAAACTTAATAATGAAAAGATAATTTTTATTTTCACAGGTTTTCTTTGTACTTCGAAAAAAACAAAACCAAGTTTCTGCACTTCACATATACCATCACATAACAACTTTTTTTTTTGTATGGATTGCCACAAGAATAAACCCAGGTAATCACCTAATGTTTTTAAGACCATTATATAATGAATAAGAGTTATTATAAGCTTATACATTTTTACATTTACAAGTAAAATGTTCTACCAACCCAAATACATAAATATAATAATATTATAAGAATATGTTATGCTAAAAGATTTTGAATGTATCGGTTTTAAAATAAGAAGCAACATACAGGGCTAGGAACTTAACCATAGAAATTATTCTTGGGAAATGGGTGTGTGGAAAAAAATTCATTTTTGGGAGGCTAAGTACTATAAGAAACTAGGTCAGGGGTCTTCAATCTTGTTAAGCCACCTATTATTCGTAAAAAATCTCGCGGGCCATATTCGTAATAAAAACATATAAGTACACAACATGGTATGCTTAAAATGTGTTCACGAGCTTCAAATAACGACAAGGCGGGCCGTGGGTTGAAGACCCGTGGATAAGGTTCTATAGGTGAATCTCGGATTATTTAAGATACTAGACTAGTTGTAGAATATTTTTCGGTAACTACTACACGGTGTCACACATTTGTATCCGTAGTCAGTATGACGCAAGCCAATTGAACGCATACGAAATTTCGACGGATTTTTTTTTTTTTTTTGTGAACATATAATACTAAAAATGTAAACGTGTAACATTAGAAATTTCCGATTTAATCACTTTTATAATTATTGGTATTCGTGACATTCAAAGTTTAAAACAAACCTCTAATACGCAATATATGACGCATATCAATATGACCGCGAAATTATACGTATATAAGCATAACAATCCGGTACCGCATTAGTGTATTATCAAAATAAATCCTATTTCAAACCAGGGTAGTACCTAAAATAATTGAAACCGAACTACTTACTAGAATACAAATGTAATTAGAACTATCCAAAATCAAAATGTCAAGCGGCAATATATGAGAATACTGTTGTATTAAAATAATTTTAAAAACGTATAGGTAAGTGCCTAAATAGATATAATAGTATAAAAAATATAAAAACGTATAATAATTTCTAATTAAACTCAATTATTATTCAGGGCATTGACATTATTGCTATTTACGATGCCATAATAATTAATATTTTACCAATAATTGTGATTCTTATAATACATTTTTAAAACAATTGTTTTAGGTGGTATTGTACGGATACCTGTTATGTTAAACAACACAGTTCACATGGTTATGTACTCATATTACTTATTATCATCTATGGGTCCAGGAATACAAAATAAAATTAACAGTTACAAAAAGTACATTACTATCATACAAATGGTAAATACGTAGTTTAAATATTTACGTTTTAAGATATTTAAAATTAGACTTATAAAATCAGTTCCAGATTTTAACAAGAACATTTAATAAAACACGAGTTTTAATGTTCTTGTAACGGTTGTATAGCCGACAATTTTTTTTTTTGTCATTCGAATTCGTTTCAACTTTCAATATATGTGCATAAAACTAACATTATTATACATAAATCATTAGCATATTCTGTGTTACTACTTGCGCGCAGTCATACATATGTTTAACGTTGACCCTTGTTTTTTTTTCTAGGTACAATTTTGTATTTTGATCGTTAACTCAATATTTTATTTGACTCCTAGCTGCCAAGTACCTAATATTTACGGATTGATATTCATACCTAATGTTTTTATTGTATTTTATATGTTTTACGACTTTTACCGAACATCATATATTAAAAAAAAACCTGTAGACCGTCGCAATAGTACGAGTATAAAAATTAGCAATAATAGTAATAACAACAATATTAAGATTAAAGGAAAACTTTAAAAATGATTATTTATAACATAAAGTTAATTAGGAATAATTGTTCATTTTTAGTATAATATGTAGTTGAGAGGCATTATATCATAAAGCTTTTAAGCAGGGCTTAAAACCGTTATCAATCAAGTCGGTAATCGGCTCCGGCAGGAGCCGAAAATTTTTGAAAACCGGTAACCGGTTATCGTTTAATTTTGATATTTTGGTAACCGGTAACCGTTTCTTTAAAGATATTTCAAACACTATGATAACCGTTAATCGTTTAAAAACCGTTGATTATATTTTTTGGTAATCGGTTACCGGTTAAAACCGGTTTTTAAAAATCATTTTTTTATCATATTTTTGAAACAGTTTATTTAGGTTATTCGTGGGTTGATAACATAACTATTATTATTACAAAATCAAAAACTTAATATGCTTTAATTTGGTCGATTTCCTAATTCCTTCAATTTAAATATTTATTTTTTCAAACTGCTTTAAAGTTTAAAACATTTGATCAAGATAATGGCGATCTTAATAAATCAAAAAAATAAATTGCATAAAAAAATGTTATTGTTATAATTTTCTTCTTTATAACCGTAAAAACCAAAATAATATATAATAATTTTGTACTAATTTTTGTGAAGGGCAAAAATGTGTTTCTCCAAGTTTGACGAATGCTTACCAGATAGGTCGATAGGTATATACTTGGTACATCCCACTACATTACATTTACTACTGTTTTTATTTATATCATACGTAAAATACATTTCAAGAAGAGGGTTCTTCATTTTTAATTTTCGTGTATAATATAATATGTAGTTATTCTTCAAATTATTTAAATCTTAACCCCTTTAAACACTTTAAACAACAGCTTTAAAATAATATCATTGACCAATGTATATAAAATATAAAGTGTGATAGACAGTATTAAAATGTCGTAAATACTAAATGGACTTAGCCCCTATTCCACCAACTATTTCGTAATAGGAATCAGCGCCCGAGGACGACGACGATGTTTATGGCGGTATTTATAATATTAGTTATACAATTATACCTATATATATATATGTGATATTCACAACAAATAAGCAATACTCGACGACAATTAATTGGGGAAAAAATTTAAAAATAGCTGGAAAATTAAATTCAACTATAATGTAATCATGACATAATTCAAGACTCAAGTATTAAATTCCACGAAAAACCCGTTAATTTTTTGGTCGGGAATAGATTTTGGTTATAATACCGGGATTGAAAAAACGAGGTAACCGCTTTGATGTTAATATTTAGATATTTACCTTGGTAACCGATAACCAATAATCGCTTCCAGCATTCCAAAACTAAGAACGGTTATCGGTTTTTGGTTCTCAAATTTACGGTTTTTTACCGGTTTTCGTTACAAACCGGTTACCGGTTTTAAGCCCTGCTTTTAAGTTTTACATGCTATACCTATTCTTTAATAAGTTCAATTAAATTATTATAAATGTATAACTTTAAAAAGTTCTATAACTATTATTCAACAATGTATGTATCATCATCATTATTTATTATCGCTATTTTCTAAAATAAACATAATTTAATAATTTAACTATAATTTATCTATTTTATAAATTTTTTATAAGTATAATGACTACATGGATATATTTATTTAAATGATAATTAATTCATTAAACGCATCAAGTAAAATTCTATGTAATTTTTGTATAATACTTCTTCAAATTAATTATTTATCTACTGCACATAGGGGTTTACAAAGAAATTAAAAATGTTTGTGTCATAAGAATTCAACATAAATATATTTACTGGCTATTTATATATTTTAAATTAAAACATAAATGTGATTTTAACTATAAAACTAAACTATTCATTAATAAAAATATTTTAAAACCATGTATCATTCTTAAAGGGTTCATTTGTAATAAATAGTTAACTACAACTATTCCGTTATTATTTTTATTATAATTCTGTTTTCTGTGTAATATTGTGCTAGTATTAATATAAATTAGTTAGTAAAATATTTTAAGTTGCATGTTTAAATTATTATTTTAACTATTATATTTGCTGTATATAATTTTAATTTTAGTAATAATAAATGTTATACGCCCATATACGTTATATGTTTATCTAAGTGTATTACTTTTGTTCTAAATCTTTAAATTATTAAAAATTATTAAAATTAATAAGATTAGGTACCTACTAGTTCAAGTTTAATAACAATATTTATGTAAATCACAAAATGAATAGGAAGTTATACAAGCATTTGTTGTCTTACATGTGCGTGATATAGCAAATTTTACGCTCAGCAGATCACGTTTAGCTCCCTTAGTTAAAAAATTATAGGGAATTGACATCTTATAAAATTTAAGGGTAAGATTATTATTTGGGGCATCTCATAATCTTTTTATTATATAATAATAAATTTATATGTGTTAATATATATATATATATATATATTTATATAATTTAATAATATTTATTATATTATAATCGAGTTATTAATACCTATTGTACAATTGTAAATTGTTTTTACATCTTAAAATACTCATAACTCACTTTAATATTTCATAAGAGGTCAATCACTCTGATTTTTAAACTAACAGAGCTAAACGTGATCTGCTGAGCTTAAAATTTGCTATATTACGCATTTGTAAGACGGAGACAACAAATTCCTGTATAACGTTCTCTTAAGTATATAATATTTTAAGATATTATAGTAGTATACAACTGCTAACACATTTACTGTTAACATCGTATCATAAATTATTTGTCAAACATGGATGAAATATTTATTAAATATATAATATACTTAGGCTGGGGCTATACACAGCGAATTCACTATTAATACTAATAATTTCGCAGCGACTTTGCAAATATTTACCATAATTTTGACATAATTTAGTTCCGAAGTTATTTATATTTATATAGGTATATAAAACTACAAAAACAAACAAATTTATTAAAAAATATTTAAAAAAAATAATTTTACGTTTATATCTTCAATATAATGCTGTTTAATTAAGCTATTTAAATTTAATAATTAAATAATTAAATAATTAAAAATCATAAAAAAAATAATAAAATATAAAGTTTATAGCTATTTAAAAAAATACCTAAACCCAATTATTTTCTTAAAAAATATGTAATATAATTCAATAATATTTTAATTAAAATATACACTGCATTTTAAAACTTATCCTCTTAACTAATTTAATTATAGCAATTATATTAACAATAATAAAATCACCTATTACATCAAATTTAGTTATTTTAATTCAAACAATAACTTTAACTACCTATAATAACTAATTTAATCAATAAAACAGCATGAATCTCATTTATAGCTTTTATTTTACATATTGGAGGATTAATAATTATTTTTTTATATATTTCAAGAATTGCTTTTAATGAATTCAACATTAATAAAAATTATAAAAATATGATAATCATTTTATATTTTTAATATTTTATTACTTTAAATTATCTCTGAATATAGAAAATATAAATTATGAAAATATATTCATATTTGAATAATTTTCATCTATTAAGTATATTTATAAATTATAATGACCAATAATATTTTAATTTACATAATAATTGTATTTATTCTTTTTTTTATATTAATTTTAATTATTTGAATATTACAATTTAATAAAGGACCAATTTAAAATTTAATAAATATTTTGTAGTTTAAAATTTATAAAATGCTCAACTTTTATACCTAAGGATTGAAAATTTAAAACAAGGTTCCATGTAATTAAGTAAATATATAAATTACTTTATTCATAATAATATCATCAAATATACTTAGTAATATCATAGGCTGACTGACTGTTTTCGCTCAGAATCGTTTTTCTTATACAATGATATTATATCATTGAATTCAAATTTAACACCATCCATTAAAGTGACCCAATTGACAATTGTAACCTACTGTACAGCAGAGCATAGGCGTGTTTACGGGAGGGGCCGGGTGAGCACTGGCCTATCCGGCAGACTGTGCCACAAACAAAATAATGCCAAGATAAAAAAAAAAGTCGTGCGGTGGGTACCCTCTGTAGAGTGCAGTACCTACAGATTTTGATTAATTGAAATTTTTTTAGTTACCCATTATTAATTAGGGATTATATTATCATAGGTATAATATTATGTTCATCAATTCTTTATAAGTGCATAACATAGTACTGTTATGCCCATCTACCAGGTCTTGCACTGTGATATCATAGATTAAATAAAATTGAATCTAACCTGGGATAAAATGGTTTTATCAGCTGAAAATATCCAATTACCGATTATCATTTCAAAATTGTGTTTAGACATATTTTACGACTTGTTAAAATAATTTAAATTTTGTCAGAAACTAAAAATATTTATTACTGATTAGTTATTAGTTTTACAATTTTTATATTACTTACCTTGTATATTGGATGGAAAAAAGTATTTTTATTGTTTTGAAAATGTAATGAATGTTTTTCCATGTTTTAAAAAAAAAAATAGGTCTCACAATCTAAAAATTTGTTGTGCACCCTAGGCCACCAAAGTCTGAACAGGCGTGTATGCCTATATGCAGCAGAGCGTCCACTTACCCACTTTTAGATTCGGAGTGGAACGATGAATGTATTGATTTTACAATGATTTTTTTAATTTTTTTTTTTTTGTGTCTGTGTACACGAATAAGTAGTCGAAATAATGCTTCGATTTTCAACTTCACTATCTTGTTCGATTGGAAAATGAATTTCGTTAGCCTTAGTCACAGTTTTCTTTTATAAGCATTTAAAGTTCAAATATTGACAAAATATGGAAAAAACACGAGAGTTAACAAATTATTTTGAGTTAAGTATTCGTAAAAATGTTTCTTTTTAAATCTAAGATTTTAAAATGTAATACAAGATTCCTTATAAGACTATCTACTTTTATCAAAAAAAAAATATGTCTATAAGAGTCAAATTAAATTTTTATAAGCGTTTAAAATTCAAATTTATACAACATTACAATTTTGAAAATATTTTGACTCTTTTTGAGCTGTTTAC